GGAACAGCGGCGACATGAAGAATAGTACGTCCAGAACAGTGTCATTGGCCAGCTCACGAAGCTTAGGAATGGCTGGCAGTGTCACGTCTCGGATAAGTTGATCCAAACCCTCCATGTGCAGCTTCGAGTGCCACTCAATGGGCAAGAATTCCACTCGCGGTTGGCGTGTTGCCTTTTCTTTGTTGTCACCCTTCGTTTCATCGTCAGCGTCTTCACCGTTCAAGTGAGCGAAATGCGCCGAGCGGAGCGCCTCACGGTTCAACTCCCGCAGCGTCGTAGAGCAGTCAATGATGGAGCGTAACGTTACGACATTGATCAGATCGAGCGTCTTCAATGCATCACCGATTCCATGTACAATCAGTACCAGATGCTCAATCTCTTCTTCGATATCTTTGTCATCCTCCGTGATCTTCAGCGCATTGCCTGTAGCTGGATCACATTCCATGGCATCTTTCCAACGCTGCAAGGTAGTGGGATCAGCACGAACACGCGGGTTTCCTCGATACACACGACGCTTACTCGTAAATGGCGTCGTTCCAGCCAGCAAACGCTTGTACTGCATGATGTCCTGCAAGCCTTTAAACTCTACCAAATGGCCTTCCACAGGAATGCTAAGGGTGCAGTCCTTCTCAACTCGAGCTGCCAAAACCGCCTCACTTAGACCAGCACGGGAGCTAAAGAGGCCGCGCGGTTTCTGCGCCTCGATATCCATCAGTCGCTGCTTCTCCAGCGGGTAGAACCCCAAGTAATACACGAAAGCGTTCTCCAGCACAGTCGCTGCCTCTGCGTTGTATGGAGCTAGACCGTAATTGCGTTGGGCATAGACCCAACGAGAACGACACACGACAAGTTCCTCCAGCGCTGGCCAATACACCGGCGTCATTCGCATACTCTCCAAGTTTACTTCATGCCGACCTTCATCTACTAAGACGACGCTGGAAGGTCCCACGGGGCCTGAAATCTTGGTCTTTTGTTGCTGATACCATCGGTGTTTGCGTTCTAGCCGACGACTCTCGTGAGCTGGGAATTCTATCCAACCGCCTGATCCCGACACCACTGTAGTGCTGGCATTGACAGCAGAACTAGTAGACTGGCTGACTGCATTG